AAAGAGGCGCTCAAGGCCGAGGCTGCGGCTTTGAACCGCCAGAGCAAGACAAACGGGACCAACGGCTCTGCAGACAGCGAGGACCAGGAACTCTTCTATCTCGACATCGAACTGCCCCGTTTCGACCACGCCATCGTCTTCTCCGACGTCGAATACCCACCGCCCCCCGTATCAGACTTGCGATTGCCAGCCGAAGCCGATGTGAGGTTGCGACCTCCACCCGAAGTGTCATTTGGACCGGGTATTGACATCGACGGTATTGGATACGGTGATGCGGATGCAGGACGGCTCATCAAGATCTACGACCCTGAAGTCGGCCGACGAGTGAACCCTGCCGAAGACAAGCATCGCGAGTTGATGCGCAGCCAGCAGACCGATTCACTCGACCGCGATCGCAAGCCCAACGTACACGTTCGAGATAAGCTCAACCTGCTGCTCTCTAAGGGACCGCTCGAGGAGATCACATCACACGAACGAGACGATATTTGGAAGTTCAGATACTTCTTGCTACGCGACAAGCGGGCCTTGACCAAATTCGTCAAGTGCGTGAACTGGAAGAACCCGCGAGAAGCCCGGCAAGCTGCACCCTTGCTCGATAAATGGGCAGAAATAGATGTCGACGACGCGCTCGAACTCCTTGGACCCCACTTCGACCACCCCGTAGTACGAAGCTACGCTGTCGAGCGCTTGAAGAAAGCCGACGACGAAGAGCTCCAGCTCTACCTTCTACAATTAGTGCAAGCACTCAAGTATGAAGCACCGGGCGAAGGTGATGATTCGTCACTGGCGCGTTTCCTGGTTACTCGCGCAGCCAACAGTTTCACACTGGGCAACTTCTTACATTGGTATCTCATGGTAGAGATCAGCGACTTCAGCACCGACCAGGAGCCAGAACATCGTGAACTCTTTGCTAAGGTCGAATACGACTTCATGGTTGAGCTGGAGAAAACGCCTGAAGGTGTTGAGACCCGCAAGACCTTCCAGCGTCAAGGCGAGCTCCTCACTATCTTGGCCAAAATATCCAAAGACGTGCGCTTTGGTGGAGGAGATCGACCTACTAAGCTTGCCCGTCTCAAGAAGGCGATTGCTGACCCGAAGAACGAGCTCACTAACTTCGACCCACTACCTCTGCCTCTCGATCCTTCCGTATACATCACGGGAATATCGACAGAAGACTGCAATGTTCTGAAATCTTCGTTACTGCCCATGGTACTATCCTTCAAAACGACCACGTCAAACCCGTATCCGATCATATTCAAGACTGGCGATGACCTACGGCAGGATCAACTCGTCATTCAAATCATCACATTGATGGATCGACTTCTTCGCAAGGAGAACCTGGATCTCAAGCTAACACCCTATCGTATTCTAGCTACATCCACCTCCGCAGGCGCCTTCCAATTTGTCCCATCGATGAGTATTGCAGCAGCGTGCCAGAAGCACAAAGGCTCCCTACTTGCCTACCTACGCGCTAATAACCCCGACGACAGCGCCCCACTCGGCGTTCGGAAGGAGGCAATGGACACTTATATCAAGTCCTGCGCTGGTTACTGTGTAATAACGTACCTCCTGGGTGTCGGCGACCGCCATCTCGACAATCTCCTGCTCGCACCATCGGGTGCATTCTTCCACGTAGACTTTGGATACATTCTCGGACGGGACCCGAAGCCTTTTGCACCAGCCATGAAGCTTTGTCGCGAGATGATTGAAGGTATGGGCGGAGTGCAGCACCCGAACTATCTTGTCTTCAAAGAGTACTCCTACACGGCATGGTCTACCTTGCGCAAGTCTTCAAACCTCATCCTCAACCTATTCGCTCTCATGCAGGGAGCCAACATCCCAGATATCAAGGTTGAGAGAGAGGGTAGCGTAAGAAAGGTCCAAGAGCGTATGTGGCTAGGAAAGGGTGTCGGTGGTGCCAAGGGTGAAGACGAGGCAGCGAGAGAATGGGAAGGGCTCGTGGAGGAATCATTGGGTGATTGGAAGGCCGGGGTAATTGACTGGGCACATGAGTTTGTTCAGACCTATTGGCGGAAGTAAACCAGACAACAATAAGCACGATAGGTGGAGCTGTTCCCTTAGTGTAGGGATCCATGCACATGCTGTTGTTTGATAGTGAGGCATCCCCAGTGCCAAGGCTAACCCCGCCAGATCGACGTCTCCAGGGCTAGCACACGGCGCGTATCCCGGTGGAGACTCCGATGGAGAAGCCCCTCTCCACACACTTTGGATGTTGTATGACTTCACTCACGAAACGTGCCACCGGAGGAATGCAAATGGCGGGTTTCCCAATCGCGAGTACCCGCAGCATCGGTAAGCGTACGTGGAGCTGCTACAATGTAAAAGACGTGTCTATGCCCCTCCATGTCCGGGGCAGTCACACGTATCCGTAGGCTTGCACGGCTACTCAGATAAAAACATCATGTTCACATCCAAGGATAACCGCCTCGTTTTCACATACGATGCTGAACAACTATGGATCGAGCCTTGGGGCCAAAACGCAGTCCGCGTGCGCGCCACCAAGATGCCCACCATGCCACAGGAAGACTGGGCGCTCCTTCCCCAACCCAAGGTCTCTGCCAACATCGACATTGCCAGCAACGACGAGTCAGCAACCCTGACCAATGGCCTCGTCAAAGCCACCATCAGCAAGCGAGGCAAGATCACCATCTCAAACACCAATGGCAAAGTTCTCTTAGAAGAATACGCCCGTAACCGCCGCGATATCGTCGACCCCAAATGCAGCGCGCTGGAAGTCGAAGCCCGGGAATTTTATCCTATTCATGGAGGCGACTACAAGCTTACTGCCCGGTTCGAAAGCCTGGATCCCAAAGAGAAGATTTACGGAATGGGACAGTATCAGCAGCCTTACCTTGATATCAAAGGCACACAACTGGAACTTGCGCACAGGAACTCTCAAGCTAGTGTACCCTTTGCTGTTTCCTCGCTTGGTTATGGATTCTTGTGGAACAACCCGTCGATCGGCAATGTGGTGTTTGGCAAGAACATCATGAGTTTTGAGGCGCTGTCGACCAAAGTCTTGGACTACTGGGTCGTGGCTGGTGACACGCCAGCGCAGATTGTCGAGTCGTATGCCGATGCCACTGGGAAGGTAAGTCCCAATGTTCATGCCATGAGGTGAGTAAGGAGCTAAACATATGCTATTTCAGGTACCAATGATGCCAGAATACGGTCTAGGCTTCTGGCAATGCAAGCTGCGCTACCAGACCCAAGAAGAACTCCTCCAAGTTGCACGAGAGTATCGGAAACGGAATCTCCCTATTGATCTCATCGTAATCGACTTCTTCCACTGGACCATGCAAGGAGACTGGAAGTTCGACCCCAAGTACTGGCCCGATCCCGATGCCATGGTCAAAGAACTCGAGGAGCTCAAGATCGAGCTCATGATATCCATCTGGCCAACTGTCGACCGGCGATCAGAAAACTACGAGGAAATGGTCGAGAAGGGTCTGCTCATCCGGACTGAGCGTGGTGTGCGAACGGCAATGACCTTCCAAGGCCAAACGATCCATTTCGATTCAACGAACCCTGCTGCACGGGAGTACGTATGGAACAAAGCAAAGCAGAACTACTACAAGAAGGGCATCAAAGTCTTCTGGCTCGACGAAGCAGAGCCCGAATACCGCCACTACGACTTCGACAACTACCGCTACCACCTCGGCCCCAACGTACAAATCGGCAATATCTACCCCCGCGAATACTCCCGCGCATTCTACGAAGGCATGGAAGCCGAAGGCCAAAATAACATCGTCAATCTCGTCCGCTGCGCCTGGGCCGGCAGCCAACGCTACGGCGCTCTCGTATGGAGCGGCGACATCTCCTCCTCCTGGGGCACATTCCGCAACCAACTCGCCGCAGGCCTCAACATGGGTCTCTCAGGTCTACCATGGTGGACAACCGACATAGGAGGTTTCCACGGCGGCAACCCCGACGACGAAGCGTTCCGCGAACTCTTCGTCCGCTGGTTCCAATGGGGTACCTTCTGCCCCGTCATGCGCCTTCACGGCGACCGCGAGCCACGCCAGCCCAAGACCGCAGACAGCCCCTCCTGCCGCAGCGGCGCAGACAACGAAGTTTGGTCGTACGGCCCCGCTGTCTATGAGATTTGCAAGAAGTACATGGGTATCCGTGAGGATCTACGTGAGTATACGAGGAAGCTCATGGAGGAGGCGCATCAGAAGGGGTCGCCGGTTATGAGGGCGCTGTTCTATGAGTTCCCGCAGGATAGCAGGTCTTGGGAGGTGGAAGAGCAATATATGTACGGAGACAAGTATTTGATTTGTCCGGTGCTGGCGAAGGGCCAGACGAAGACGAAGGTTTATCTTCCGCCACTAGAGGGTGGTAAGAAGTGGAAGAGTTTTTGGGGTGGAGAGACGTGGGATGGTGGGAAGGATGTTGAGGTTGAGAGTCCGTTGGAGGTTATGCCGGTGTTCGAGCGCGTATAGGATGATGTCGACAGACTCTAAATGAACAATATGTTCCTCTATTAGGGCTTACTTGACTCCAACACGCATTCTCTTCTTCGGTGAGTAATCGTTGCCATACCGAAGGTGACCTTAATGTTTGCAGCCCGTGCGAGCCCCACCCTTCCAAGCCCGTGATTACTTCCCAGTTATGAGCCACGCCATCCTCCGCCTGCCACTAGATCCCATCGCTCCTGCCCCCGCATGCATCTTGGCTGGGTGATCATGATGACTGGGATGCCCTGTCCTTTGTCTGACCTCAAGTTCGAGCTGCCTGGGCATATATTTATGCTCTCTCCGCACGATATCTACTTCGACCTTTCCAGACGATGACATCTCCCGGAGCACAGGAACGGTCGAATGCAGTGTGTTCAATATGCGGTCGCGGTTTCGGGAAGCAAGAGCACCTCGTACGACACATGAGGATCCACACGCGCGAACGGCCGTACCCCTGCCCTTCCTGCCACAAGTCCTTCTCACGCCGTGATGTCCTCACCCGTCACATCGCAGCGCACAATGACCACAGCGACATTACGACTCAGCTTCCCGCATCGCGCGCGTGCTTTCGATGCGCTTCAGATCGCGTCAAATGTTCGCGCGGTCCAAGATGTTCTAGGTGCTTGCAACGTGGTTATAGCTGCCAGTACCCGGCACTCCGCAGCGCGCGAGGCAGAACGGCGGATGCTGGCGCGAATGAGTCCACCGACGCCTTCAGTACTGGAGATCTGCATCCGAACAATGTCAATCGAGACAGCAATGACGAGTTCAGAACAGCGGACTTCAACGATGCAATAGGACAGTCCTCTGTCAATGCATGGGCGTGGAATAGCAACGTCGACAACAACTTGCTCGCTTCTGACCCATTCGGCATGCCTGGTTTAAATCTGTCAGACGTGAACTGGTTATCGCCCCAATACTCAGGCCCCATTGACCTGGATGCACTACTCGCAAACTTCGGAGGCCAAGCTAATGGCACCGTGGAGCAATGGACTTGTTCCATCGCGCCAACAACGCCCTCAATACCTGCGATCACCACAACATCACACTCATCAGATCCAAATAGGATCATACCTGATACAGACCAGCAGTCAAAGGATACTGCCTCCGTAATATCTACATCGACGTCGGAAAACAGATACTACGTTGATGGGGCAGGTGCCAGAGCCCCGTTCGGTGGCAGATCGCAACACTCGATTTGCTCAGAAGAAACCATCGACTTGCAAGATGCGGAAGATAATGATGCTTCTGCATCACTTGGTACCTCTGACGAAGACAAATTATGTCCACCAGCAGCCTATCAATCTCTGCTGGAAGGTATTGCTGCTGAAAGCCGCGATAGCCCAGTCGATTTGAGCGATTCGAACTTTCCCACATATGAGCAAGTCGTCATCTCTGTTCGCCAGTACTTTGACCATTTCCACCCAGTCTTCCCCTTCCTGCGGCCGTCTTCCTTCGCCCAAGATGCTTTCAGGAGCTGGCTCTTGCTAATCGCCGTTTTTGTTATCGGCTCAAAGTACTCACGGCTATCGCAGCATTCCCAAACAAGCGAATCTCTATTTGGTCTGCTGAGTACTATTCTCACCCGAAGCAAGTATGGAATAGGCCCACAAGGTTCGGCAGGTAACGAGGATGTCGATTACAGCCCGAGCTGTTCCCGGTTCGTTGCCCACCCAGATCTACGGATTCTACAAGCTGGTATCCTGAATATCGCTTGCATGCTGCATTCGGGTAAGAAAATGCTGGTAGAACGTGCCCATGTAGAACGACACTATCTAGTAGAGGGCTGCCATACACTCCGTCTACTTGTTCAAACGAAGAAGTCTTACGATCTGACAAGGACGGCTGATCCTGAGCAAAACCCCGACTTTCGTGAATGGCTGTTCAGAGAGGCAATGGTTCGTACTGGGATGATGATTTGGGTAATTTGTTCTTATTGTTATCGAAAGATGCGTAGCTGACTGCAGCAGACACTCGATACGATGTTCGTGTATCAGTTTCAGGCCAAGCCTCTCATCCAGTTCGACGATATTGACGTATTGTTGCCATGTCACGAGGATGTATGGGACCAACCAGGCTTAATTCGACAGAACCAAAGGCGTCTTACAAGTGTTACCTTTATGGAAGCACTAGAGATGATCTACGTGGAAAAGCGGCTACCCGTGGATCTAGGAGAGTTCAGCATGGGCTTACTTGTCAGTGCCATCTATCGCCATACCCGAGATGTTGTGGCCCGAGATCGCATTCGTCTCAACTCATGGACACCAACATCTACGCCACAGCGACGTAACGATATGCCACCACCTACACAACAAGACTGGTCGCCGACAACGCGGTCTTCCATCAAGTGGCGTAACAGCGCCTGTGATAGCTTGGATGTCCTGCATTGGCCCGCGAATAGTAAGGTCGCACGCCACTCAGGCTTCGAGCACCACACTATCCTCCAGCTGCATCTAGCTCGCCTGATCATACTTGCGCCCACTAGCGCCATACAGCGGTTCGTATCGGGATCTGCATCCAACGAAGACGCGCTAGTCGATGCGGAAGGCGGACAGTCATTCGCGACGGCGCGAATTCAGGTCCTACAATGGGTGATTCGAGATCACTGCAAAGCTAGACTGTGTCTGGTGCACTGTGGAGCCCTTTTCTGGCACGTTCGCAGGTACAGTTGTAGCAGCCTGTTCGAGCCATATGCGATTTACATTGCGACACTCATACTTTGGGCCTTCTGCGTCTGCATGCATCTTCCCGAAGCCATTGAAGCCATTGGCTCTGAGTCAGATGAGGAACCAGAACCATCGTTCCTCCATCTTGACCGACCATTGGACGATGAGCTAGTACAGACGTATGTGCGCATGGGGCACAAGATGTCCGCATACATTGCCAATGTCGGCAGTCTAGAGCATGAAGCAGCTCCGGTGCGGATTGCCAAAGAAGGGATCTCAATCCTAGCTAAAAGCTCTGGGATTTCATCAAGTCCAGACGCCAATTCACCGTCTTCTGCGCGAGACGCGGGTCACACATGGGGCATCGAGCGGTCTTATATTAACCTGCTTCGACTTCTCACGAAAGAGCGATAATATGAATGTCATGCAGTCTGTATCATGCAACGTCTTCGACCTTAAGCTTTCACCACATCTCATCTAATCGGAAGAGTAGATCCTGGAAACAGGTTCCCTACAGCTTCCGCTTAGCGTGTCACCCGCCCTCACAATACCTCGGTCATGCTAGCAAGCCTATGATCACGGTAGTACCATGACTGGCAACGGCCAAGTTCTCGTATTCTTCGGCACAATAGACGCCGGAGCCTCACGGCGCTTCTCCATCGGGGGCCTTAGTGAAGGATCCACGCTACCGGTAGAGTGGTCACGCCCCGCACGCGTCTTCCTGGAAAATGCCGCGTCTAGGGACGTCTCCACCGGAGTTTGGCCTTCGCAGGAACAGGCCAAGCCTGGCATGCACCCCATGGGGTAGATGTGTTCCGGTGGAGAAAACCTGGGGTAGCAGCCATGTTCCATGCATGGATGATGGAGCGGCTTGGTGCAGGATGACCGACTATGTATAATACCGTGGCCATGTCCGTAGATCCACATACTTCACCACAACCACAAGTACCTGAGATCTGTATCCGGACTCTTTGGTCCGCTGTCTTCTTCTTGCTTCTACATACCTGGTGCACGCACCGATCCAATCCGACCCATCATGGCAGACATGGACGAAAAGGCCGCGACCATGGAACACCATGAGGTTACCTTCGACCAGGCCAAAGCGGCAGCCGACGAGGAGCACGAGATGACGTTGATGCAAGCCATTCGCAAATACCCCAAAGCTGTGCTCTGGTCGGTGTTGCTATCCACCTGCATCATCATGGAAGGATACGACATCGTCTTGATGAGCTCCTTCTTCGCGCAGCCGTCCTTCTCGCGCAAATATGGAGAGTTCAATCAACGCACTCAGACATATGAGATAACGGCATCGTGGCAGAATGGACTCAGCAATGCTGTGAGCGTGGGCACTATCATCGGTGCATTTGCGAATGGGTACTTTATTCATCGATTCGGTTACCGTCCCGTCTTGCTGGTATCGCTTGCCTCCATTTGCGCGCTGATCTTCATCTCTTTCTTCGCGCCCAATGCCCCCGTCCTCCTCGTCGGTCAATTCCTGTGCGGTATACCCTGGGGTGTCTTTGCGACAATGGCGCCTGCCTACGCCAGTGAGGTGTGTCCGTTAGCTCTGCGAGGCTACCTCACCGTATACGTCAACCTTTGTTGGGCATTCGGACAACTCATCTCCGCTGGAGTTCAATCCGCATTCTCAGGCAACAACACACAATGGGCATACCGTATACCCTTTGCCATCCAATGGGCATGGCCGATCCCTCTCTTTGCGATCCTCTGGATGGCACCTGAGTCCCCATGGTACCACGTTCGTACCGGCGACCTCGAACTGGCCGAGCAGATGCTTATCCGTCTTGGGTCTGTCTCCCAACGTGATATGGCTAAGCAAAAGGTCGCGATGATGGTTCGGACAAATGAACTGGAGAAGTCGCTTGAAGAGAACACATCCTACCTCCAATGTTTCAAAGGCATCGACCGCCGCCGCACAGAAATCGCCTGCATGGTCTTCGCAGCTCAACCCATCTGCGGCTCTGTCATGGGCGGCACACCCACGTATTTCTTCGTCCAAGCAGGCGTCTCAACCTCAATCTCCTTCAAGATGTCCGTCGGCGGTCTCGGCATGGCATCAGTCGGTACACTCATCTCGTGGGTGCTCATGAGCTACATCGGCCGTCGAAAGCTTTACCTCTGGGGCCTCGGTGGTCTAGCTGCCATCCTCTTCATCGTCGGATTCATCAGCGTAGGCGCGGGCGACTCGTCCGGCGGCAACTATGCACAAGCTGCTATGATGATCATCTGGCTCTTCTGGTACTACATGACCGTCGGACCCATCTGCTATGCCATCGTCGGAGAAGTCTCGTCCACGCGTCTTCGCAGCAAGAGTGTGTGTCTGGCTCGCATCAGCTACTACATCGCGCAGATCCTCACCAACGTTATCAATCCGTATATGTTGAACCCAACTGCGGGTGATTGGAAGGGCAAGACGGGCTTCTTCTGGGGTGGAGGCGCGTTGATCTTTTTCGTTTGGACGTTTTTCCGTCTTCCGGAGACGAAGGGCAGGACATATGAGGAGTTGGATATCATGTTTGCGGAGGGGTTGCCTGCGAGGGCCTTCAGGAAACATAGCATTGATGCTTATGCGTATGCGCATGGAGATGAGGGTGATCGTAAGGTCAAGGCTGTGGAGTGAGAGCACATACTCTGGGCGCTATCTCGTCCCATGGTATGTGAGAAAACTGTTCTAAGTAGGAATGCATTCGCTTTAGTGCTACAGGCAAATCTGGGAGTCGCGTGTGGGGTAGACCAGATCCACAGATTCTCCACTAGTGACAGTGCGGAGATAAGAGCACCTGATAACGCGTTTGATCCGTGCGCCCCCTGCCACCACGCTACGACGCGTTTGTCTAGAAGTTTCGAGCGTCCAAAGCGATGAATCGCTGTGAGGCTGCAGGTACTCGTTCCTACACTCCGTTTTCAAAGGGCTACACGCTCAACTTTTCCGCGAGAAAGGTTCTTCCGCACCACCCACCCGCCCCCCAGCCACGACAATCCATACTCCATCTCAACCATGGAGGGCCCCGCGAAGCCCAAGCTACCAGACGCGTACGCGGACCTCGAAGTGAGCCCAGCAGCCTCTAGTGCCGAGATCAAGACCGCCTTCCACCGCCTCGCTCTCCTCCATCATCCTGACAAGAAGGCGCCAGGCGAAGCTGTCGATGCAGCCGACTTCCGACGAATCCAAGAAGCCTACGACATCCTGAGGGATCCGAAAGGCAAAGCGCGCTACGATCAGTCGTATAGCAGTATACGGACACAATGGGACACCTACAGGAGGGAACACGCCGAATACGTGCGGAACCCGAATGCATGGCGGCAGAAGCAATCCGCAGAGAGGATTCGTGCTCAGGCCGAATCGGATCGCCGTGCGGCGGCCATGCGAAGGGCGGCGCAGGAGCAGGCGTGGGCAGAGGCAGAGGCTTTCTACGAGGACGAATACGAGTACGAGTACGACGACGACAGCGATTACGAATACTACTCTGGCGGCTATGGCCCTAGCTTTGGAGGTGGCCGCTTCGGTGGTGGCTTTGATGGCTTTGACAGCTACGACCCGGAGGAAATCCTCTTGGCAGAATTGCTCCGACGGCGCGAGAACTTCGAAGCTGCGGCTAGACGTAACGCTGAAGAGAGGGCCAGGAAATCGGCAATCGAAGACATCAATAAGCAATGTATCGAGCGACTGAAGAAGGCGGCTGCGGCTCGACAAGCAGAGGGTGATGGTATACGTATCGTCGACCCAGAAAAGAAGCGCGCCATGGCGCAATTATGGGTCATCAGCTTGCAACGCGATTATGATTCTGAACTCCGGAAGGCTGGGTTACGTCCCGACGACGACTCCATTATGGATCTAGGGTGGGAACGGAAGAAGGGGAGACAAACTTGCCTGTTTTGCGCCGCTCACGTACAGGAATACAGTTATCGCTGTCCAAGTGGTGGAGCTGTTGCCTGTCGAGGTTGCAAGAAGAAGATCGAAGCGTCATCCCCAATTCACCCGTTCAATTTTCACGGCACTGGCGTGGCGCCAAAGAAGGGGAAGGGAAAGAAAGGCAAGGGCGGAAAGAAGCCTCAGACGACTAAACGCCACTCTGATCCGGAAGGATCCGACTCGGTCGAGCGAGACCAGGACGAGGAGCAAACCAATGGAGATGAGGCAGAGCAACCACACAACGCGGAAGAGGAGGCCGCAAAGCAGGCAGCGGAAGAGCTTGCGCGTAAGGAAGAAGCCCAGCGACAGAAACAGGAGCGCAAAGCCGAGGCGTCACGACGAAAAGCAGAGCGTGAAGCACAAGCCAAGCTCGCACGAGAAGCTGAAGAGAAGGCTGCGCAAGAAAAGGCGGCGAAAGAAAAGGCTGAAGCGGCCAAAGCTGCACGAGAACTCGCAGCTGCGCAAGAAGCTGCCCGTCTAGTAGCCGAAAAGAAGAAGGAGGCTCGTGAGCGGGAAGCTAGGGAGAAGAAGGCTGCTCGGAAGAAGGCCACGAAAGAGAGGGCCGCTCTTGAGAAGGCAGCACAGAAGAAGGTTGCTGAAGAGAAAATAGCAGATGGTCACGAAGTCCAAGAACTGAACGCTTCCGAACAAGACGCCCAGAAAGTCCAAGAGGTTGCCGAGCAAGAAGCAAAACAAAAGGCTGAAAAAGAAGCGAAAGCGAAGACCAAGCGTGAGGCAAGGGAGCTTGCTGCGCTCGAGGCGAAGGAGCGTGAGATACGGGAAGCTGAAGAATCCGCAGCACACGAAGCCCAGGTGCGTGCAGCACAGGAGGCTCAAGAGCGTGCGGAACGTGAAGCCAAAGAACGAGAGGCCGAGGTACTCGCAGCACAGGAGGCCAACTTTCGCGCCGAACTGGAAGCAAAAGAGACGGCAGAACGCGAGGCCAGGGAAATGTTAGAGCGCGTGGCCAGAGAGACAGTGGAACGTGTTACTAGGGAGACTATAGAACGTGTCACCAAGGAGACGGTCGAGCGTCTCAACAGGGAAATGGCAGAGCGTGACGCAAAGGCTGCTGCAGAACAACAAGCCGAATCCTTCGCAGAAGCAGGCAATGCGAACGGGTACGAGAACGTAGAGCAGGTGTTGGAACCCTCGTCAACGAACACGCCGCCCGTGGAGCCCTCGGTCGCCACCGATTCAGCAATTTCCAGGAAGACCAAGAAGAAGGCGACTCGTCCACCAGCCACCTGCTACACCTGTAACGAGCAAGGCCATTTCGCCCGCGACTGTCCCATGAAGCCTGTCGAAACCACCGCCGATAATAAAACCCAATATCACGCTAGTACAGGGCCTGCGCCCAAGATTGAGGTGACTAGTAAACCGCCGCCACCAACACCTGCACCCGCAAAGGTTGTGGTTAAGCTTCCAGTACCTCGTAAACCGAAAGCAAAAAAGGTCGCAAACGACACCACTGCTGTACCTCCGGAGGCCACTGCACCTTCCATGGACGCCGCGGCTCCTCAAAAGCCTGCTAAACCAATCAAAGCGCCAAAGAAGAAAGCTTTACGTCCAGCGCCTCCGGAGGGCCAAGGTGTCAATAACGTCCCTACTTTAATTGATCAACCCTCCATTCTACCTCCCACCAACGGTACCGCGAACGTGTCTTTTTCCGAGCAGACAAGCAAGCCAGCCAAGAAGCCAAAGGTGAAAGCTCCGTTGGCTTGTTATGTTTGCAAAGAGGTAGGACACAAAGCGAAGAGCTGCCCTGCACAGCATGAAGGACACATGTTCGATGTTGTCATGTAAAGGCATCGCCTCGTTACCACGCGGGATATAAAGTGCTCTGTACGGCGTTGAATCCATGGAATTGATTTAATGATACCCCATAGCGATGTATTGTCAAACAAGAACGAACACCATAACTAGCACAACAACATGAATGCCCTCATAGAGCTTCCCACTAAAACAATACAAAAGACAAGTCCCACCACCATCTCACTTCCTACAACTCATTCCTCTCACTCTTCGCCTTAACCTTCAACGCCTCCACCGTAAACCTAACCTCCTTCTCCCCCGTATTCGTATGCCCAACCTTCCCAATCACCGCCCCATCCCTCGGCTCATTACTATACCCCTCCAACCCATCAAACGCACCTTCACACCCCGCCTCCTCAGCATCATCAACCCACAGCGGCAGAATCGGATAAATCGCTCCGGGTGCAAAAAACACCATATCATCCTGCACACTATAATGCCTCTGCAGCATCTCAGTCTTCAGCCACTCCCGCACTTTATACGGCATGTCTGCCATGTTCATCTGTATGAGTTCGCGGCCGGTGCCGTGCACGTCGATGCCGCCCCAGGACCCCGCGTAGAGTTGCTTGTTGTAGAAGACTTTTAGTTGGGGAGCGGCGTCTTTTAGGTCGGGGTAGAGCTCGTTAAGCTTGTAGATTTTGGCGTTGTAGGTATTTTTGGAGTGGCAGTGTTGGGTGTAGGGCTTTAGGGTTGTGGTGTCCCATTGGGCGGTCCAGAGAGCGCCTACGGGCGTGGGCTCGTCGGCGGCGGCGGAGGAAGATGGGGGTGAGGGGTCTGAGTTGGCGTAGGCGGTTGCTGCAAGGAGCGCTGGTGTTAGGAGCGAGTAGAATCGCATGTTGAAGTTGGTCGGATTTGTGTATGTGAAAGTGGAGTAATGCCAGACGATCTGAGTATACAATCTTGGAGGTTATGGTGTGCTAATTGCCTGTAGCGTCCACGGCGTACTGCAGTCCAGTCTCAGCTATATATTGCATCATCCAAATTTCTTGCGTTCTGTCCTTTTCACTTCCCGTGAGGTCCCATGACGTCCTCGCGTTGATGTTCCGCTTTCCATATTAAGGGCCAGGGTTATTAGCGACGCGACAGGAACGCGATAGATTAAAAGAACACGGTGGAGGGACGCTGCGATGCTGATCGGCATGAAGTTCGCCGAGAAAACGCCCAGTGCGATTCGTTTCGTGGCTTGATGCTTGTGCCTCAAGATGGCGGATGGTGGAGGTTGGAGTGTGGGAAACGCGGGGTGATAATTGTGGCCGAAGATGAAGCGTCTGCACGTGCAGAACGGCTGAGTAATGCCGCTTGTCTAGATGAGACAGAATTCTTGCTCTTGTCGTATCCCTTCTTCAACTTCCCTTACGAGCTCGCCGTTCATGATGCTGTCGACATAGGCTTCACCTAGCATGAGATACTTGTCGCCTTTCGGTCTCAACAACAACGGCGTACTACCCCCATAGAGCACTACGACGATATCGCCCTCACGCATACATGCTGGCCCAATACCGTAGTCTTCTCTTGATGTCCGGAAAAAGCGACGGTTCCAGCTGAGAGTTCCAAGCAACTCATGGTATTGACGTGCGTCGTTACGCAAATTGTCAAAGTCCGCGGTTGGTGTACGGTACCATTCAATGTAGTTTCTGAATGCTTCGTAATGGGCGGAACGTGATTTATCATCAAGCAGGTTGAGATATCGATATGCCGTGCCATAACCAGCAGTTAGTGTCCGAGCTAGCACTGGCAAAGTTATGTCGCTCATAGGGTTGTCCCAATCGATCCCTTCGTATGCCTCAACGACTTGGGGATGCATTTGAAGTCCATTAGACTTCGAGTCAACAGATATGTCGAATACGCTATCGACTGCGGTCGCTTTGGCGTGAAAGATACCGGTGAGGCATAATTGCTCGCCCCCAGGGCTTTTTGTAACGACGATCTGAGCTTCGCGTCCGCCGCAGGGGCCGTATCCAGGAATATCAGATAGGCGACCTATCCGAATAGTGAACCTAGGAATATCCCAGCGTGGTGCCCACGACCGGTATTCGTCATCTCCATCGTAATCTGCATGGTGTGATACCTCCCGAAAGACCAGTAGGTGCTTAGTACTGGTGATAATGTGTAATGCCGTATCGGAGAAGACTCGTGCAACACTCTTCTCGTAGTCTGGAACCACTGAATTTCTATCAGTCTCATATCCAACAAGACCGATCAGACCATAAACCTTGTCTCGTGGGTCTGTTGATTGGAAACCGCGGAAATCTGATAGTGTGTCGAGAAGAGACAAACTACCAGGAATCCACCCGTAAATAGTGTCTATTTTCGCTACATAGACGTCTTCGAGTAAATGTTTTTCGGCTTCATTGCCGCGAAATGTCTTCGTGAACACCCACGACGCTGTTAAGCCGACGTCCGCCCAGGATAGATACTGCTCGCCCCAAACTACTAGAGCATCTTGTGCTAACTTGACTTCCTGTATGCACCAGACTCTCGAGAACAACGGGCGTGAAGCCACATCCGTCAGACCCCTGCATGCTGTGGGTGTGAAAATGGCTATTGGAATGTCGACTAGTTCAAGGGTTTGAATTTTGTTCAGATCCAAATCATTTTCCCAGCAGAACTCTCTACATGCTTTCGCGACCAGCTTGCAACAGCGGAACACTTCTCTGATTACACTCTCATCACCGTGACCGAGCCAAACGTTAACCCTCGCTGCCTGCGAATAAATCTTGCGCATCAGAGGGACCTGGTGGCTCTTTTCCTGGTTGTCATCCTGATTGATGCAAAGAGCGTCGGTCCATACGATCCGAGTGGTATGCTTGAGTCTCAGCCTCACGAGAGCATACGAAAGTTCTGGTCGGATCTTGAGATGTTGCCCGTTGCACACGATCTTGATGCTAGGTGGGTCGACCCCCCAAACGTACGATAGAGCTTCGTAGACAGGTGCGTCATCAAGGTTGATGAGCTTGAGTTCGCATTCTATGCGTCGAGATTGTCTAGAAGACGGTTGGACATGGAGAACACGGATCTGATTTCCAGAAAGAAGTCTCTCGGCGTAGATTGAGGGGGCTGGTCCGCTTCCTGAGGCATTCGATGTAGCTTGTGGGTCCTTTGAGAAGGCTGAGCGGACGTCTTGTCCCAGACGCCTGAGCGTAGCTAGGCCGCGAAACCGATGATGATGTGTGTCGGGAGGCATCGTTGCCAACGAGATAGTTGTACACTATCCAAGGGTATGGTAGATGTAGTGCGATGGTAGATGGCGGGGTAAAGTTCGGGGTCAGATGGAAGGAAGGCATCACCAAGCTAGTAGGATGGCTTACACCTGGGCACTCGACCCCGCTAGAGGCTTGCCTCACAGCCTTACACAGCGGCCCCAACATGAACATGTAACAAGTGGCATGAGAACGCGTCCGTTTGAGAAATCCATTATGAGCATTAAGGCTAATTGAAAGTGTTTCGCCGCTCCAGTCTATGTTTGGTAATCGCACATTCTCTTCCTCATAACTAACCACCATACGTCTCGTATCTAAACCTTGGTATTCCTCGCAAGTGGCTTGAGTCCCGGCAGCGCAACAACAATGATTGAGAGAGTCATCTCCACCATACTTAAAGGGTCTGAAAAAGACATTGTTAGTCTGTTTGTCGCGCACAGAATGTGTAGCACACAGAATGGTGAACTCACAAACGAGGTTTTCCTGTCCTGTCCCAATCTTGAGGCAGGCGAAGCGCACAATGCTCGACGCAATAGTGAGCGCACCGAGCGCGAATGTAAGACCAACACCGGCCGATGACCTCAACACACCCTTCATCAGGAGCACAACAGGAACGGCGTAGACCGCGAGGTAGCAAGCCAAGTTGAGAGTGAAGTTCAAGATGAACGGCTCTGGCGCGTAAAAAACGGAGCAAGCGCCCTCTTCCTGAGACCACTGCACGGACACCGGTGTGCCGCAGAAAAAAGTATCGTCGAAAAGGATAGTCAGGTAACTCGCGACGACAAAAGCCGTGATACCGAAGAGCATCTTGCGCAGTCCCGGGTGACCAGCGAGGTTGAAGAATGCCCAGTAGAAAGCCAGCATGCTGAGTTTGGGGAAGCCCATGCCGACATCGTAGAAGTAGTTCGAGGCGAATGAGATCTGCGCAACGTGTTAGACGCGCACCGAGTGTGACGATCAAAAGAACAACTCACCTTAGACAGCTTCTCCGACGTCTCATACTCATCCAGCACGCCCATCTGATACGTGAGTGTATCGCAAATGATCAACCCCAACGCAACAAGCGCAGAAGCCAACAACAGATAATCCGACGCATCCAACCTCGAGCGCAGACGAAACAGGCGCGTGTACATACGCGCCGCGACGAAACAGTATGCGAAGATCAGGAGGATCCATTCTGAGATCTATCACAATTGTGACAAGTCAGCATCGTGTTTCCTCTTCGAAGATCAGTTTGTTGTATCACCAACTAACTTACCATGCAGTCTTTCCCATCAATGTAGTGTGCCATCTTCGCTGCTCCTGTAGTGTGACAGAGCGACAGCCACGAAACAGTCAGGATAAAAGGCCGTTGGATAGATGATTGCGCCGCACTTCGCTTCAACGAGCGTACTGCAAGGAGTATGTATATTGAGCCAATTCCCATAGCATGCAGGGTACTATATTCTGCCGCGCTTCCATTATATCATAGCTTCTAAGGGTATGTCTGGGCGAAGAATTCTACCGCCTATCATGCGAAACTGGGGTCGGACTTCTGTCCTCGAATTGTCGAATCGCATGGCAATGGGTGAGCCCTGCATGCAGGCGCGCGGAAGTTTGCCTGTAATTGAGGCGTTCTAGCTGCCGTGTTAGATGGGCTGATTCCAACTGTGACCCTTGCGCTTTACACACGGCTGTACCGTGTCGGTGGGTTCGGTCCATGGTGGGAGGGGCTTTTCAGGCGCATGGGACGAAGGTGTGAGGTCTTATTTCCTGGGTTGTGCAACGGATATCTGATTGAGCATCAAGGCTGTGTAACTTTTAATTCGTGGTCATGTTTTGTTCGGCCCTTCGCTGCTGATAAGCTTGGTCAAGCATCGTAGCTTCCTTTGGTGTTCGGTTAGGCGAACCGGTGGATGAATTTTGCCAAACGAGGCCTCCCGCATGCAGACCCTTCGGCCAATGCCGATCCACAGCTTCGACGGCAGCAATGCGGCACAGTCAAGAGTATTTGCAAAGGTGACTGAAACTCACGGAGCCATGGACTATTGCGGCTCGGCTGGGTGAATATACCGCTCGGCGGCGTTTTTGGTGGCGTGTGCGGACCGCAGTGGGCGGGATGGTAGCGCAATCATTCCGGGTTGATGCGAGTGGTCAGCCCAACGGCAAGGGTCTATTAAGTAACACTACAATGTTGAGATGACCCGGCTGCCAAACCTCGTACAGACAGATTTCGTTCAATCCTTCGAATAACTTTTGCTTTTGCTGCTATTAGCGACTAGCTACATCTCAATGAAATTGACTCCTGAACCACCCTCATGGGTACTTGGCAGAAATCTCGTGTTCCTCATCAGGCGACTTTGAAAACTGCACGCTAACGCGGCGCGTCTCGTAGATGACATCTTTCCTTGACATGGTGTTCAGCTCTACTTCGCTGCCCGAGTCTTCATCTGTATGCACGCGGGCGGTGTGCTTGCCTCTTCTGGAAGGACGCAAAAAGTTGTGCGACCCGGATGCTGGTGTTTGGTGTCCATATGTGCGAGACCCAGAAGAGTGCGATTTCTTGTTCGAGGAGAAGAGGCTGCCGCGTCGTAGGAAAGATCTCATCGACGGCAACGAGACTACCATGATGGCGACGGCCATTTCGGTCATGGAAAGGACGTCTATACATGTGTTAGCGAAAGTCCAAGTTGTGTTTGACTGCATGCACTTACAGACGTTGGTCCAGGCATATATGACCTCTATCGTTGCAAACCGAAGCACACTCATTGCTATCGTGACGATACCAAGTGAGAACGTCGCTACAAGACCCCAGATCTGGCGACGCCGGAGCTGTAGTGAACGAAGTAGGGGAAATGGCAACGCGAAGACTGTTGGTCCGACGTTAGTGATTCATGCGCTCTCCGAATGATACAGGATTGCCTACTGAACACATCGGAGGTAATATTAAGGCTCCAATCAATCCTGAAAACCTCTTTGGAACTGAAGGTATTACAGGCTGCCTCATCAGGGGACCAATTCGAAGAGACCTGGCGCCCGCACCAGAAAGTGTCTAGAAAGAATGTCGATACCATGGCACTTGCAGTGAAAAGGGTCACTGCGTAAAGTGCTTTTCGCAACCACGGCATCGTCGGAGGGATGAGCCTATAGTATAGCGCGAGGATTGCCAACTTTGGCCAGTAGATGCCAGTGTCGTAGAAAGCATTGCCGGCGAATTGCACCTTCTTGAGAGCGATCACACGAGCTGTCGATGCTTCTGCATCATCCGTCATGCCACCCCATATGTACGTCAGGTAGTCGGTGACGAAAAGGCCAATGGCGTCCAGAATTGATGCTATCAAAAGACTGTCGCTAACAGTTGGATACTGTCGTTGTAAAAGGCGGGGAACCAGTCGACCAGAAGCCAAGAATATGGCCAAGGCCATAAGGGTCGCCTCGATGGGCTTTGCAGATACGTTAGCAGAGTCATGTCAGAAAAGAAAAGTACATGAAACATACAATTACAGCCTCTGGAGCAACGCTGTTAGACATGATGGAGTAGAAGTGGCGAATACACCATGAAGCAGTCGACAACAACTACGCAGAGAGAAAAGGATCAGATAAAAGCGATTATGTAGCGATTCCAAATTCGAGGTCATCGCTTGGGTGTATACCAACTGGTAAGACGGACCCGATAACACGTCCGTCTTACCCTCCTTGTGGCAAAGGTACCTGATTGCTGCGATCATACCACACTGGCACACCCGACTGCTCGGCTGGCAATATAGGCGGAAATAATCAGTATGTCTGCATGGCGGGACCTGCAGTCACAGAAGTCTTATGGAACGACATGGGTATATAGGACAAGACAGGGTTCTTCGTTGGGCGCTATGTGAATGGACGGCGCCGAAACCGAAGGATTGAAGCCGAACCCGATGGAGTGTTGCCGATACTATGCGAGGCTGTATCCTTTGAGTGCTAGTATACGGTTGCTCCGCGCCGGAAAGGATATGGCTCAACGGCGAGGCTGTGATATGCAGGCATTTGACTATTATTTGTGAAGATCTTTCCTACTCTGCCGGCTTCAACGTCTTTTCGTGTTTCCAGAACGTGAATGAGATCGCTTTTTCGGACCTATAATCTCACGGCCAGATGGTGTGGCAATCGGGCTGGTGTGGCAATCATGTTGTTCTTTAAAGGTCTTGTTGTGCATCTTCTTCTTCCTCTCGAATGTCTCTGACTTCGCAAAAATTTAGTAGCGGCCACATCAGCTGCCACTCAGTTTCCATCAGCATTGTGATGGTGATCAGTTGTGAAGACGTCCCGACATCGTAACATCATCACGCCGCAACATTACGGGTACTCGAAACATGCCCAACAATACTCTCGTGCCTCATCGTTTCAGAAGCAATTCTTCCATCGCGAGGGAAAGGTCGATGTGATTGATGCACCAGAAAACCGTGCCGTAGGCACAGAGAACGTTGGTGTGATGGTTTGGATCGCCTTACAGTTGGGGCAGACACAACGCGCTCGCGCCGCCCTCATCGTGCGCCGAGAAGGGTCGAAACGATGACGCAACATCCATCCCAGGCCTCACCAGTACCAAAAGCGATTTTTCCGTTGCGAAGGAAAGGTTGATGCAAACACCAAGAACCGTGCCGTGAGCCCAGAATTCGTCGAGGTAGACACAACGCGCCAGCGCCGCCTCGCCTCGTCGCGCCCAGGCGATGACGTAATACCCAACCCAAGTTTCACCAGCACGAAACGCGAAAACCCAACGCGTAGATCACACCAGCGAGACCCACGCAACAACACCATGCCCTTTAGCCTGCGATCCTTCTTGAAACCCGCCTCCTACAACGACGGTGTTTCCTACACCGACAGAGTCCTCGCGCAGATCTTCTCCTGGTGCACACTCCTCGGCTACATCCTCCTCCCATCATTCTTCCCACAGCTCAACATCATCGACGAATACGCCGGATGCATAGAATATGAGGAATACTGGGACTGTGCTGAAGTGTATGATGATCTACCATCTACAGCTAAACAGATCTCGGGTTCGTTTTATCTCTGTGCCCTTGCCTGCTGCGTCGGTCTACTAGGCTGGTTGTATCTATGGTGGAAATACCAGAGGAAGGTTCAGTGGTTGATAAACTGGGTTTTCTTTCCCGCGTTCGTGAACAGTCTCGGGGGAATCGGTATGGCAGTTAGTAAAGTGGTGAGCGCGCCTGAGGGGCAGTATAGTGTGGTTTTGAAAGTGGCGATGGTTTTGCCGTCGGCTTTGTCGGCGATGGCTGCAGTGTTGGCGTTGTGGTATCATGGTGGTATGTTTCGGGCTGCGAAGCGAAAAGAGGATGTGGATCCTGTGACTCTGGAGAAGGAGAAGGGACGGGATGAAGAGAGTTAGAATGGGGAATTTTGGTATGGATTGTTGGATTGGATTGAAATACTGATTTAATAAGTATTGGGTATCAAGAAATGAATGCCGTCAATCATGGAACTCTCATCGCGACGCATATCAAGCATCCTTACCCTCCTCCTGATTCCTCCGAAACATCTTAAGTCTCCACTTCTGTGTACTCCCCGCATGCGTGATAGCCTTGTACATGTTGAAGAGAAAGATGCCGATAAAGACGATCGTAACGAATGCCAGTACGACGACCACGGATATCTGAAGAGAGTTAGCCACCACAATGTTTCATCTCGTGCGATGCGAGTACGTACCATGCTGAAAACAACGAAGTAATAAGTGGCATCAAGGAAATGGTGATTATCTTTAAGTTCCTCCAGACCCACTCCAACTTGCATGGCTGATAGAACCAGACTAAAGAACACGAACACGATGAGGATCCAGGAGAAGTTTCGCTGGAAGAAGATCACGTAGCGATTGTATCCGTAGCTGTTTGAGGTGTGTTAGCAGACAGAGCTACCCCAGCGTTTGCTTTCAATGGACAAGAGATTGACTCACAGATACCCTCTCACGAAATGCGTATGCGCATAACGTGTCCGATAAATGCTGTTGATTCTTCCCAGCCTGAGATCACCGAACTGGTAGCGTTTGTTGACTTGCTGCAGCGTGTTGATATCCACATGGCCCATGAAATCCCTCACGAAAGCTTTCCACCAGTGCCAAGTGACAAAGCTCGGGAGAAGCGTGTACTCGTGCGCGATCTTCAAGTCCAGCGGTGTAGTGATAAGCCACACATAGCTTACCAGAAACCCCGCCGCACTCTCCCACAGGCCTTTTGCTGTCTCGTCATCAGGATCCGCATCCGCAGGCTTGCAGATGTAATCTTGCCAGAACTCATAGCTGAGCATCCATTCCGGCAACGGCTTGACTATAAGCTTGGTCGAGTACTTCAGCAGATGTAAATCCATTTGTTGTGTGCCTAGCACTTCCATGCCCAGCATCGTGTATCTGTGCAATGGCCTGGCGCGCATGGGCCGGCCTGCCATCCATAGGTGTCCATGTATGCGATTCAAGCGAGAGAGATCGAGGTCGTATAAGAGAAACTGACGGGGGTCGTCGTTGGCGAGGTATGCTTCGTTGTTCTTGCCGCTTATAGTGGGGAGGGACTCCTCCGCTGTGAGCGGTATTGCTATGACCGAGTCCAGCACGGGCTCACGCGGTTGTGGGCCCGTCGTGGTCCGACCCAGGCTGGTAGTAATATGACCATTCTGATGCGCGGTGTCGGATGGCGATGTTGTGGGACTACTGAGTGTAGCAGCGGTAGCGGTTGGGGGTGGGATGGGACGGGGAGAGAAGGGCGGTGTCAAAGCGCTGGTCTGGTACTTGTAAGCATCCGTTCAGAGCATACCAATGCTGGCAGGCTACACGTACCGTCTGTATCGTGATCTTATCAGCCATACTGTCCATTAGCGATAGGATAGTGGGTTATGGTATGAGTGGAGTGCGGCGCGGTGCTCTATATGACGCTTGACGCCGACAAGCCTGCTGCGGCTGTCGCACGAGGCTCATAGATGCAGGCACACCTGCGCGCAGCAGGCAGGCACCTCATGACGCAGGGAAGCAGCAACTGCGCCTTCTCGACGGCGCGCGGGAGCTACGGACAGCAATGTGGGGGCTGGAGGCGGGGGCTAGACTGCCTCGAGCTGAAGTTTGGCTCACGGACGCAGATGTGCCCTGGGGGTTCCATTGGTGAGCGGCTTCGTCAACACTATTAATAGTAGCGAACAGGTACCGAGCCACCACCATGAGAGGAGGCGCGATCTAGTTGTCAATCTCACTCGGTTCAGTGTCTCTCGTCATGTCACAAATCTGAGCATAGCATGAAGAGCATTACATATTATCATACTTCAGTTATTAGAGTCAGAACGCAACCCCAGTGTATACAAAAACACAAAAGCTACTCAATTTGAATTGCCTAAGTTTCTTCCTAGTTGTTCTGTCTGCTCGCCATGTCATCAAGAGTGCCCAATTACCGTAACGCCACCTTCTAATGCAGTTTTGGATATCATTGAAGCCCTCCCATCTCATCGCATTGACCAAATCACTTGCAGTAATTTGCAGGAAAGCTGCCCTGCTTTCCATTAACTTCACCCTGCCACCAGTCCTGCGAGCTTTGCGTCTTCTTGATCACGCGAATTCGGTCGCCTTCTTTGAAATGCAGATCGCCATCCGTGAGACTGTCAAAATCGTACATGGCTGTCACGTACTCGTACTGGAAAGATGCTATCTTCTTCGGTGGCGGTGGGGGCGGCTTCTTCTTCCCTGCGGCCGGGTTAGGTGACGAGGGATAGCCGGTTGGAGTTGACCCGTTCGAGGCAGAGGATATCTTGTTGTTGTTGAAGTAAGAATCACCGTTGGTCCCATTTGAGTAAGAGGAAGCCTGTGATGTAGACGAGAGTCGGCGATCATACATACCCTGCCCAGCGCTCAGATGCGGTGAACCGCCGATCTTGGGCTTTGAGGCGCTGAGAGAGCTGTATGAGGGCTTATTAGAGAGGCTTATGGGCGGGCCATTCTCGGAGGTCGATGACAAGGTCTGGGATGGTCGCGGGGGTCTTCCGCCTCCTGTGATGGTGGGCACACTGTCGCTGCTGCTGACTCTCCGACCAGGCATGACCTTATTCCTAATCCCCAAGCCTGTCAACGTCTCTCCCTTATCTGGTAGTCTCATTGGCAAATGGACCGCCTTGCCCGTCTTCAGCAGGCCCAGGCTGGTCTCCATTTCCTGGCGCAGTGGTGTAAAGTTGGAGTCCCATAGTGGGATAACTTCCTCTGGCTCTGGTGGTGGATCGGGGTATCCTTGCTCGTGTGAGTACTGGTGTAGTACAGTGTACAAGTTTCCAATCAGGTTGTTTTGCAGCACGATCTGGTTCGCGAGGAGATGTGGTAGAATGGAGAAGGTTGCGGCATTCAGGCGTGGCAGGCGGTCTCGGAGGTTCTCGTCGGCGAGTTGGTATGCGTGTGTGGAGCGCTCGAGATCGACTTCGTGTTTGGCAAGAGCGCTGTTCTCGCGTTCCGAGCGCGTCTTCTTGGCCTGAAGGGTTTCGCAGCGGCTTTTGTAGCGCTCATAGTCGACCTGCAATGGCGTGGTCAGCATGGCTCACAGCGTGGTCTATAGGCTGACTGACCTTTGCATCCTCTCGCTTCTTGATAGCCTTCTCCATGGGCTTCAAAGCATCGCGAGCCAGCTTCGCTGGGATGACCAATTTTCTGTCAATGTCCTTGACTTCCTCCATCATGTCGGTCTTGAGTTCGGAAAAGGCCTCGTGTAGGCCATGGACACGCTCCAGGACGGCGGGTGGGGTTTCGGCATGGGCATGGGTGGTGTTGGAGCCTTCGCCGCCGAGCGGTTTGAAGATGGCGTATATGAGCTCGACCGACGTGAGTTGGTGGTTGAGGATGTTGGTCCACGCGTCCCGCCATTGCTTCGCTGACGCTTCGAGCTGAGAGGGGGGTTAGTTGGAGGTTCAATGCCAACGTGTATACTCGACTCGTGTGCCACACATAGCACACATAGCAGTCGATTGACGTGGGTGGTTGGAACTGGATGTGATGGGTTTGGATGGCTGGCCCCACTAGTTCATAGGACCGAGCAATGTGAGATGTTAAGCCACACCGGACGTACCTTTTCCAACATAACCTGCGAGTCGGTGAAGTCCTTCAGCATGGCCTCGACATCGGCCTCGTTGGGCGTCCTCGTAAGGAAACGCCCGGTAATCCTCTGCATGCGCTGCATCTTGCGATGTGATGGCAGCTATCGTGTGCGACGCAGGCCTGAGGTAAGAAGGACAGAATAATACGAGTTACGGGCGGAGGGCAGTAGGTAATGCTTGCGCGTCGACTAGCGGTGGCTGTGCTCACTGCTGTGTGTTAATTGAGGTGAGGGTAAGCAGGGGTACCGAAGGGCCCCGCACCAGGTTGTCGCGACAATTCGCTGGCCGCTTGGACCGATTAGTTGTCTAAAGTGGAGTGTGAAAGCCTCGCGGGGAGGAGTGATTTGCTAGGTCCCCTCCTCGACGCGGGAAGCGAATTCAAGATTGCGGTTACACCTGATGCCCGCGTTTGGTACCGTCAGCTGTGGACCGGACGGCATCATGGTACAAGGCCACCCAGCGTTGGGCCGCCGGGTACGAAGACGTGTCATGACTGAAGTGGAAAAGCTTGGGGAAACGCGTACCCCTGGTGTATTTCCGGTGAAAGCTCAAGGCATTAGGGTCTTAGGGCTGGGTAGCCGCTGCCGTAGTCTGCAGGCGCTAAACCACGTGCTCGCGCGCGGAACAGCAGGCGCGGTTTGTTCCGCCGAGGCGCGTCACCGTCACATCTCTCGACCTTCACCCTCACGACGACCCCGCCCTATGCCGCCCATGCACGCCCCGACGCGTCTCGTCCGTATACTCACGCGATGACGGCACCTCTTCGTAATACCCAGCATGCCTCAGCCATAGCCGCGATCACCGCCTCCCAGAACAGCGCGCCCGTGGCAGAATTTCGTTGCCTCTATACACAAGACGTCAAGAGGAAGCAGAAGCGGTGGCAGGATGGCTATCTCAAGTTCCATACCTTCAACAGCCGGGTCATGGTATATGACCAGGCAAGGAACTTTCTCGGAGATACCTATCACAAAGACAGCAACGAGCTGCAGGAAGGAGACGAACTCAGCCTGAACAATGGCGCTTTAGTAGAGGTCGCTGAGGCCATGGGCATCACACATACCGATCTGACGCAACTACTCGAGAAGAAAACGAAAGAACAGCCACCCCGCCCGACCGCTCCTTCCCAGCCGAAACCGTTCCAGAGGCCATCATCAGTGGCACCGACCAATGCCCAGCGAAGTGCATCCCAACTACGCCACAAATCGCTCAATACACTGCTTGGGACACCGAAAGGGCCAATTGGAAAGGCGCAACCTATGAAATCTCCATACGAGGCTCGAAAGGAAAAGGAGAATGAGCTGGTTGAGGAACCTACCCCGAAAAGACAAAAGACTGGCCAGCCACGCACAAACTGGAGAGCATCTAGCCCAGTCCAAGAAGACAGCCCCATAGCGAAGAGAGATTTGGCTGTACAGGTACAACCGTCCGACACAGCGAACGCTCGGAAACCTGCCAAGTTCATACCGCCTACAGCGACTGTCATCACGATAGAGTCCGAGTCCGATCCTCATCCGGCGGACTTATCCGACGTCACTCTCCCAAGCACACCCCCGAAACTTGCCAGAGCAAGAGCACGATCGAGCGCACTTCATACCCCAGCACCACAGCCCGCTGTACCTCAGCAGCCACCCGTACAAACCCCAAGAATACCGAAAGGCAAGGTGCCAGTACCCAGTGTACGAGCGTTGGAGACTCCGAAGCAACGAGCGCCACCATCTTCACCTCCAGTGAGCGCCTCAAATCGCCTGACGAACGTCGACTTCGCGTTACAACCAACAAAGCAGCCACCCAAAGACCCCACTCCGCCACCACCTTCGCCTCCTCCTAACCGCAAAGCAAAATCTCTTCGATTGTCGGCGGGTGTAAAGCGCGGAACCTTGCTGTGTCAGTCGCTGCCTCAGAAGACCATAAGGGCAGCTAGTGAGGCCAGAGCGACCAGTTCCAATGTCAGACCTCGACCGGTATCACGCGTCACGAGCAAGGAGCCATCACCTGCAATATCACAAAACAGTAATCCGCCACAGGAGGTCTCCTCTGCAGCGTCGAAAAGGGTGGCTAAAGCCAAGCGAAGAAATACAGAGGCACAGGATGGTGATAGTGTCGCGCCAAAGAGAGCCAGAGTCTCCAGATCTCCCCCGCTCCCATCGCCGAGTGTTCTCGAAGATCCAGAAGTTATACATGGCCTCATGGACCAGCAACTAATAATCCCCTCGTCTCCACCTCAGCCTCAGTCCGTATTCTCTCCTTCAGAGGCAGTCTACGAACCCAAGCCTACCACTACCAATAAACTGGCGGACAAGACACCGATTGAACCGCCACCTAAACGTCAACCCACAAAGTCGAAATCTCCTCCACGAGACAAGACTGTCCGAAAAGCACAGCCAAGAAACAACATCGTGGATAAGTCTGCGTCCACGCGCAAAGCCTCATCGCCACCTGTACCCGTCCTTGTTCCACCGATATCAGCATCGCGAGACGTCTCGCCAGCGCACACTGAGACTTCCGAAACACAATCACGCATATCATCAACTTCGCCTCGCAAAGTCCCACTCTCAACCGGCGGCTTCCCTAAGCGGCCACCGAAGCGATCCAAGAAACAAGCAGCCGCAACGCCCTTAGTACAGGAGGAACCAGCTCCAGTCCCTCCAAATGAGTCTGTACCTCTCCCTCCACATCCCCTCCGGGCGAATAAGAAAGGCCCCATGATGAGCACAACGGAACTAGCATCTCTTCTACAAAAGCCGCAGAACCTAG